TCGAGCACTGCCAGTACTTTTTCCGCGGTTCAGCGCAAGCTTGGCCTATCGAACGGCCTTGACATAGCCGCAAACTCGACTGCCACGTCAACGGTCAACGTCCCACCGGATACCCCACCGCCGATGACTTACTCGTTGCGTGCAGCTGAAAACGAAGCGAACGCAGAACCGGGCTCTTTCTTTAAACAGTACGACTTGCGGCCGTATGGCTTTGACATGATCGTAGACTTCAGCTGGCCGCGGTCACCGTAGGAAATACCATAACTGTCTTTTGGATACTACATTAGTGTACATACCTAATATCCGCAACACATGTATCTTTACGCTAGAGTGGCTTTTGCTTCCGCGCGTGTGATTTGAGGAGCGGCCGTCATGGCAAAGCGTGCCGGAGACTGCCGACCCTGGTACGCTTACCGCGTTGGACGCGAACGGTCGACCTGCGCTTTCAAACCACTCTTGCCCGACCATGGCCGCATCCAGCTCCAGCAAAAGGCGGGAGCCCCGTGCCGCCGTCGAGGACCTCGCCGAAGGCACCTCTGCACGCAGTAGGCTCGACGCCATGTCGCATGCCATCCTCTCCCCGTTTACGTCGCGCAGGTCTGATACAAGCAAACTACTCTCAGACAGTACGTCTCCTTCACAAAGCTGCTATAGCCCCAAAGTTCAAAGTGAGACTCCTTCTGTGTAGTGGCACCGGTGATAATGACGCCGAGGATGATCAACGGCGTCGCCAACGCCTCCGCAAAACGAGACGCCATCGCGAGCAGCACCGGCGCAATCTCGACGATGGACTTTGCGGCCCTCGGCCGTGCACCACTGCGGCTCACGGTGAACAGCCGGCGGATGACGTCGCGTGACCTGCAGATCGTCGAGGCGACGGACGAGCTGCTCGACGAGGAGGTCCCGGAGCCCCAGGGCATCGCGCAGAATGTCAGCCTGCTCCGAGGGTTCAACGCGACGATCCCGAGTGCGGACAAGAGCAGGTCACGGAGGAGGCAAACGCGGAACGTCGAGGCTCCGAGGCTTGGCTTGAAGCGGCTGGGAATGCAGTCGCGGGGCATGCTTGGTGACGAGGAGGAACATGACGGCGAGAGTGTCGACGGCGAGGACGACGTTGTGCTTGTCGGGTCACGCGGGGCGACGGGCAAGAAAGGAAAGAGCAAGAAGCGGAGTCGGCAAAGCTTGAGTGCAAGCGTCATGTTCGGGCGGGACGAGTTGTTACGGCAGACGCAAGAAATCCAGCGGGACAAAGAGAATATCCATGTTCGCAGGGTGTGTCATATTCATCTTACTTTTATGCTGTTTCCGCTTACCACTTGACAGGCTCTCATTAATAGTGAGATTGCAGAAATCACGCACAAGATTGAAGCCCTGGATGCAATGCGACAAAAGTTGGAGCAGGACCTCCTAAAACTACAAGAGGACGAGCTTGAGCTCGATGATGAGTGTATGTGCTATCAATTTCTCAGTGGTATCTGAGCTTATAATCTGCTAGTGGAAGGCGTGAAAGAGAGACTCGAACTCGAGGAGGTCAAGAAAGGGACGTCCAAAGGCTCACACCAAGCTAGCAACCTGCCTCATACCTCACGGAGGCGAAAAGGTGCGAACGCGTACACGGCCGCGTTATGGGTGTTCTAATACCGCTTTAGGACCCGCATTTCTGCCTTCCGAGCACGATGAGCTACCGCATGGTATTGCATTTATGGTGAAATCGCAACATTTTACATGTCGTAATATACTGACCTGTGCTCCAGTCGTTAGAAGGACATACGAACCCCATCACAGCACTCGACTTCTCGGAACCGTACGGCACTCTCGTCTCGGCATCACAAGACGATTCACAGCCGCGTGTATGGGACCTGATGAGTGGCGAGGAGCTTGGCAGGCTGCGAGGTCATCGAGGAACGGTGAAATGCATACAAGTCGAGGACCAGGTGTGTCTGACTGGCGGCGATGATGGCACTGTCAGGGTTTGGGATCTGCGCTTGGTAGACGAGGATGAGGAGTGGGAGCGGGAAAGCGAGATGGTGCACCTGAGTGACATACAGGAAGAGGAGAGTGTTGATGAGTTGGGCGTGCGCACCGACACGAATGGCTCCATCAGGCAGGGCACTAGCACGTCAGGAGGTGAAGAAGAGAAGGGCGGTCCATGCGTACGGTTGTTGGAAGGGCACACGAAAGCAGTCACTACCTTGTACTTCGAGGATCAGTGTCTGGTAAGCGATATTCACATCTTACCTGGTATCCTGTGCTTACCTATTATAGGTCACAGGTGCCTCAGACAAGACAATGCGCCAGTGGGATTTGAAAACTGGACAATGTGTCATGACAATGGACATTCTCTGGGCGATCTCGCACCCACCTGCAGCAGTACCAGGTGTGCCAAACGCGCTCTTCCCTGGCGCCGCGGCGGCGGTAGGCACGTTCGCAGTCCCGACGCCACCGTATGCAGACGGCACGTGGGACATGTATCAGGACTTTGTCGGCGCGGTGCAGTTCTGGGGGTACGCCCTCATGAGCGGCAGCGGCGATGGTGCCGTGCGAATGTGGGATATGCGCACCGGTCAGCCACACCGGACGCTCCTGGGCCACACTGCACCCGTCACCTGCCTTCAGTTCGACGAGCTGCATGTCGTCACTGGCAGTCTGGACAAGTCAATACGGGTGAGCTCATTCATTTGCTTGTTTAGTCCCTGAGACTAAAGAGTTTCCATGTAGATCTGGGATCTCCGCACAGGCGGCATCTTCGAGACGCTCAAGTACGACCATCCGGTGACGGCTCTTCAGTTCGATACGCGTAAGATCGTGGCGACTACAGGCGAGAACGGGCCGGAGTTGTACAACCGCACGAGCATGCAGCACTCCCGTTTACTCACGAATGGGCACACGCGTCCCGCGAGAGCGGCTACGACACAT